TCCAAGTGTCTTGTAGCCTAAGCTGCAGCTATTTGGATTATCTGATTTATAAGTATGTGTAGCTCTTCCTTTGTCCTCAATTTTTGCAGATAGCTCTTTTCTGTCTGTGACTTGTCCCCATTCAAGAAGCATGGCTTTGCGTGCTGGGCTGGAGCCACGTGACCAGCTGAGCTGCTCCTACAACTTACCGTCTCCAAAAGATGGATGTCTCCACCCTTCCCCTGCTCTGGCTTTGTGACAGCGCTCCTTCCCTGAGGCACTCACTGATTGCATGTATAGGTGAACCAATTCAAGTCATCCAGCAGAAGTCTAATCCGTGATGAAACAGTGAAAGCGCGTAGAGGGAAGGCAGGTAGGGAAGGAGGAGGCTGTCCTCTCTGCCCTCAGCTCAGTCTGTTCTGAGGAACCTCTGAAATGTGCTGTGAGAAGGAATTTCTTAACAGGGAGAGAGAAGGAAGCTAGAAGATGAGGGTCATGCCCTCTCCTCGTTTTTCTCTTACTAAAACTGAAACCATAAACTTGCTGGTGCTGTGAGTCCTGGCTGTGTGTATCACTTCTCCCTCCTGAGCCTCCAGCAGAACAGTTCAGTACACTCAGGGGGCAATGCCAGCACAGCATCTCTTGCACTGCACTCACTCTGGCTGCAGATTGCTTCTCTTCCTTTAGATGCACATTCTTGACATGCTACAATTTGAACTGTCTGCATGAACTGTTAGTGATTTCCCTGCTGGGATAGAATGGAAACATTCATTCCTTGTCATAGCAGTCAGCAATGGGGATGACCATAATACCAAAGACATAGTTTTAGCATTAAAGGTAGGCAGCAATTATTTGCTTGCTGATGTTGTTTATTGGGATAGCATCTGATGGTGTTGGAAAAAGTGTCTCCATTGTGCTAGGCACTGGACAAGCAAAGAGTGAGACAGACAGCCTTCTCTTTTCAGAGTGATGGTGGTTTTACCATGACTGATGTGTTTTTTCTCGGAACTATTTTAAAAACATCAGAATCTTAATGTCGTGGTTGTACACATACACACCAAATATTTTAGTCTAACTTCCATTTGGTCTTCATATGCTTGTAAACATGCCTAAAGTGATTTCTTAGCATAAGGGAAAGGTTTAAATACTGAAATTGACAAAAAAACATTATTTTGTGACAATTACATCTTATTGTTGGTGGCCATAAGTATGTACTTTAATTTGCTCAACAGGATGAAGTATACTAATATTCAGTGGTGTCTGTAAACCAGACCTTTGAAGGTATTCAGTGTGCTTAAATTCAAGGGATAAAGCATCATCAGCTTTGACTGTTCCTTCCTTATGTGTGGTGGTTTAGCTTACCTTTACACAAAAAATGATTTTAGTTATGGAGTTGCTGGTGGTTTAACAGTGATGCTGCTGTGTTTACTCAAACAATGAATCTTCAAGTCCTGAATTCATACTTCATTTTCCCCATTTTTGAACAAAAAGCAGGGGTTTTTTCTTATTTATTTTTTTAAAGTCTGCTTTCTTATTTTTTTGTCATAGGAAGAAGCATCTATGGAGAAAGATTTCCTGATGAGAACTTCAAGCTCAAACACTATGGAATTGGATGGGTTAGCATGGCTAATTCTGGGCCAGACACCAATGGATCCCAATTCTTCATCAGTGTGACAAAGCCTTCCTGGTTAGATGGAAAACACGTAGTGTTTGGCAAAGTCCTTGATGGAATGGTTAGTTTAAAGTAGTGGTTGATCTGGACAAATTGTGCCCATTATAACCCTGTTGCCCCTGTTCAGAAACAGTTCATTATTCATCTAATATGTACATGGTAGGAAATGATTGTGAGGAGCTCCAGCTGGACAATTTAGAACTGAAATATCAGAAATGGAAACCTGTACCATGCTTTTGGCTTTCACTGCCCTTATTTCAGACTGCTAAGCACTGAAGTCAACACTTTGCAAATTACACCTTTGCAAATTACAAGTGAAGAGAGTTCAGTTCCTCCTTTCAGTAACACTGTTTTCTACAGGCTAAAATCAAATTTTGTAGTGCACGGTAGTTATGGGTAACACTTTTCACTGTTAAGGGTTTTTAGAAACATGTGAATGTAAAGCAGGCAAACGCATACTGATCAAATTTTCAGCTAAAAAATTAGGTTTTCAAGTGATTATACTTTTATTAGTCTGGTTCTCCTTACAAATTATTTCTTTTAAATCTGTGTTTTGAAATTATTGGGGAAAATATGAGCTGCTGGACTTTGAGGAGTTTGAAAACTTCATCAGAATACTTGCCCCTCACTCCCATATTTGTACTGAATTCCATTTTCATGATCTACAGTAGTAGCTGTAAATTTTTGAGAAGCTATTTAGACTTAAGTTTCAGTTTAGTCAGATTAATGGATAAATATAAAAAGCAAGTTGTCAATATATGTAAATTAATTTTGTCCTTTAAAAATACTGGTACCACACTAAAAATATGTATGTGTGTGTTATATGCTAAAGGTAAAAGCAGTAACCAGATTTCTGGAAGCGCAGTTATGCTGTACAATTAGAAAAATAATCATGCTTGCCTTTTGTGATCTCTGGATTCACTTTTTGCTCATAGGCCACAGATATAATCCTGTATGTGCCAGCTTAATCAGCTGAATGTATATTTTTAGTTACCCCTTCAAAATGTTTTTTTTGGCTGAAGGATTTTCTAGGAGGGCAAACAGCCTTCCCTGTGCTTCTGTCAACTGTGTTTGATTTACAGAGTGGCACAACTGCTAATATAGAAAGAAAAGGATATGGGAAGCTGGCAGGGTAAAGGACTTTGTTCACAAACTGGTTAATAAGCAATGATGTTAGGTGCACTTTTTTATTTCTGTGGCACCAGACCTCAGCCACTGAGTTCCTTTGGCTAAACTGAACCTTTCTGTTTGTTCTTTTTTTGTTTGACAGTCTGTGGTGCACTCGATAGAACTCCAGCAGACAGATGAACATGATCGGCCCCTTCAAGACTGTGTGATTGTGAACAGTGGCAAAATAGCTGTGAAGGAACCATTTGTAGTTGAAGTTGGTGACTGGTGAGAGCAATAGTCAGAATGAAAAGTACAACTTAATCACTTGTCTTTAATGGTGGTTTTTGACCAATCTCAATGATCCACCACGTTTTCTCCTCAAAACAGCTGAAGTTACATTTTGGCAGTACTTATCATTTGCCAGATACAGAAGGGATATGACTATTTCTATAACAACTTGTTGGAGCTGCCACTCCTTGAAATTCAAGACATATCCCACCAAATTCTAGATCTTGCAGGAAAAGTGTTTAATGAAAAATTATAGCAGTAATTCTATTTTTCCACGGTTTAAAATACAGTAATTTTGTTCTGTTTGGAAATTTTAGCAATATTTGTTTTTGTCTTTTCAACTGAAAATATTTACTGTAACATTACCAGCAGTTCTAAAAACTTAAAGAAAAAAGGTAGAATATAGATGTGTTTTGAATAAATAAACTTTGCTTTCAGATAAATACTTGAGAGTATTTTTTACTCCAGCCCCCAGACTTTTTTCTCACCTCAATTGATTCCACATAATATGCAGGGGGTATTGCTTTTCAGGAGATAAGGTTGTAAGGTTAGAGCAGAGATGGTATATTTTCCTAATCTACCTAATCTAAACATGTCAGTCCCTTCTGTCTTTCAGAAAATCACAGTATTGAGATACCATTCTGTGATCAAGAACAAGCAGCTTTTCTGTCTTGTTATTAAATAAGGTGGTCTGTTAGAAGCTGATTAAAACAGAAGAATTCTTGTTTTGGTGAATTTTGTAACAATTAATGTTACTTATTTTAAAGCTCAAACACTTTTTCTTTACGTTTTGCTGTAAGTTTGAGAACTTTGGGTTCATTTTTTTGGTGATGCTGCATAAATAAATAACTCTTAAGCTGACAACTGGTAGCTTTCAGAGGAGGTCAGTGTAGGGTAACACTTAAGAGACACCTATGTTAAGTTCAGTGCAGATATGTGGATTTTTTCGTTTTGAGTTGACTACTTTAGGACTCAAGGTGGAAGAGACAGTGCCAAGATCCGATGAAGGGCAGCACACTGCTCCTCTTTGAAGTGACTCATTTCCTGAAGGGTGTCCTGAAGGAGCTCTGAGGTGTATCCAGAGCCAAAGTGATTCAGGGCAGAAGAGACTGCTACAGCACAGAGCTTGTAGGTACCTATTGGCATTCCACTCAAAAGGAAACAGGAAAAAACTGTCGGCAGGGATTTATCCTAGGTTCTCCTGACATATCATTTGCTGTTAGAGGATGCTCCTGCTGGTTCTCCATCCACAGCCCTGGGGCCTCTCCTGAAGGTAAATACTGACACTCCTTTTGAGAGACCTGTGAAAGGATTACTGTCCTCTGCAAACAGAACTGGAGGAGAACTTGGCAAGGGCCTCTAAATTTGTCTAGGGCTAGGCAATCAGATTTCCATTTTGCCTCTGATCACTTTTCTTTCTAATAGCTGTTTAAAGTAAAATTCTCTGAAAAGCAGCTCTGGGAGCAGGGTTAGCAAGCAGGAGTGAGAATGCCTCAGTCTGCCAGTAGCTGAAAGCTCTCCTGGAGGCTGAGCTTACAGACCTCATAAAGTTACCTGAACAAGTGCTGCAGTCACAGGCCTACCTTGGTTTGAAGTCCCGGCTTTCCACTCTCCCCAGATGGCTTCCAAACTCATTTACCATTTAGAGCAACGTGTGTGTCTCCAGGATCTGACTTATGTTTGTGCCCAGCTTTGCCATTGCTGGTTTTGTGTAACGCTCCCTTCTGCTGATGAGCCCAGTGTCTTCCTCTGTGTTCCATTAACCTTAATTTTTTTCACCAAGACATGCAGTTCTGTAAGGCTACCATGTTCAGCTAGGCTTTAAATGAGCAGACACACAGGTATTTTCTCACACTTCATGGGAAGACAGACATCTGTGAGACCCATCTCAGAGAACAGAATCTCAGAAAAATTTCAATAGAAAAATTTCACAAAAAAACCACTGAAGTGGTACATTCAGGTCTAGTAATTTATTTTATAATGTCCAGCAGCACACATACAAATTTCCAGTTAAATCTGAACATACATATATATGTATCAGTTTTAGTTTGATCTTAATCATAATATTCTTGCTTTAGTTTACCACAGAGTTGTATGTTCTGTGACTTATAAAATGTTAATATATGGAATACAGTCATCAAGTTGGTGTGGAAAGTAAACAAACACACAAGTTAGATGTCATAACTGAATGGAGATGTGCAAAAGCCATAGAGAAGCTCTTGGTAAGTCAAATAATTTAAACTGAAATCTAGAAAATTTCCTCAGAGAGTGCTGTGTATTTCAGAATGTGAAAGCATGTTTCCAATTCTGCACATACTCTCTTCAGCACTTCTAATCCATCCAGTGCCAGCAATGGGTAATGTGCTGGGAAAAATCCTGGTGCAAAATGGTTTAGTGTTTGCTTTAAGAGAAATTATAGAAATAATTAGTAAAACTTTTCTCTTCAAAGGTTAGCATAATTCAGTGTTTGATTTAGAGCATTTAGTGTTAAACAGAGCATGTCAATATAAAGAAAGTATAAATAACTTCAATACTGTTGTTTCCGTATCTTTTTTAAAAGCAGCAACTGTAATGACAGTGATTTTATTTAAAAAGTCATAATGCTTGAACTTAATCTGAGGTTGTGCCTCTTGCTACTGAGCATAATTTTCACATCACAGAATTTTATTCCTGTTAATTCTGTTAACCATGACTTCAGCTTCTTCTTGCCTCTTATTACTTCTACCTGGGCAGTAAGTGAGGATAAAATATTCCATGTAGAATGCCATCTATAACTACATTTGGAAAGTCATCTGAAAAAAAAGAAAAAAAAAAAGAAAGAAACTTACTTTCTTATCCACGTCAGTACAATATAAATGTTTTGGTGAAACTTAACTAGGTAAGGCCTTATTTACTTTGGGTTACCGCATCACTCAACTGTTTATCCATGTTGAGGATGTGCTATAAGTAATGCTGTTTCAGCACTAAAGCCACTTTAGGGCAGCCGTGGGCATTGCATGAATGCACTGCCAGATTTGTAGCTTGTTGATTTAAAGGGATGTTCTAATACTTAAGGCTGCTAGGCTCCAGCTCTTTATCTGAATCTTTTCTCACAAGGAAGATGGATTGCACTGGCAATTCAGTTTCTAACAAAATCTCAATATACTTGAAGAAATTTCTAGATTACTACTGGGAATACTTCAAAGCTGTTTTTTGTATTGTGGTTTACAGCGATGTTTAGACTGAGAAGACTTGAGGATGCCTGTACAAAAATGATTATTTGAGGGAAGAAATTTTCAGGTTGTCCAATCAACATAAAATGTCACGTCACAAAATGTCATCCTACAGTACTCGAAGTAAAAAATTCCCACTACTTTGTTGTAATGGATGCAGAGGAAACTGCCAGTTAATTTTCACGTTCCGTTTGGCATGAAAGAACTGCCTGATAGAACACAATAATAGATCCATGTACATGGATATACACTGTCGAATTAAAAAGATTTTTGAAATGCACCAACATCTGAGGTTTTAATGAAGGGTCTGTTTAAATCACCAGATAGTAAAACTAAGAATTTCTGATCACATCTTACAACCTTAAAATTGTTAGTATACTAGAAATGGATTTCCTGCTAAGAGTAGACGGTTCCTGATGTGGAACTTTCCACATGAAACAAAGCTTCAACTAGCAGCCTACAGGTATTCACAAAGGGAAGATGCAACTTTTATAAAAATCATTAGTACGTGATGAATTAGATCATCTAATGTGGGTGGGAATTAGGGTTTGCCCCTAAATCTTTCACATAAATAATTTTGGAATTAGAAATACTGAGCAAAGGTAGATTTGGACCCTATAAAAGCAATCCTTATTGTCTTAAATGTGTTATTTCTTTGTTATTAATAAAGTGATTTCAGAATATTACAGATGTTACGAACATAGATACTTTAGGATGTTTTCATGAATGGTAACCTCCCCTGTAAACAAGATATGCATAATTCTACCCAGCTTCTCATAGTGAGTAATAATTATAAATGACTTGCTGATATTTTGAATCCTTTAGTGTTTCCTCAAATCCTGTAAGATCATCTGTCCCAAATTACCCTGGCAGAATAACCCTATGCAGCTGTCATTAATGTTACCAAAATACATTTGTAAAGGTGATCTGATGCTTTCCTTGTAGATTAAATGGTACAGTTCCAGAAACCAGTTTTTATTGGTTCTTCTATAATATACACTATATATAGGAAAATAAGGATTAATTTTCAAAATGATGCATCCTCACAACATTAGATTTAATGTGAGCCTTTTCTGCTTAAAAATCAAGCATATCAATTTAAGTTAAATGCAACTAAAGTATACATATATATATATATAACTTAAGTATAAACACAACAAAGCACAGTCTTGCAGATCTGTGACCCCTGCATGGCTTAAAGAACCATCAGAACAATTTTCAAACAACTGACAGTAAATCTAAGATCCCACTTTTTTAGCTTCCAAAGTATCATCTCCAGTTTGAAGCACATTAGGTTTTTCCTTTATTTTTTTTGAGAACATTAATTTTTTCTTTCTCCCTGTACCCTTACACAAAAAGTAATGTACACTTGGGCCCTCAGACTGTTAAATACATCTTGAAAAAGGGAATCTGAAAATCAGTGAGGTTCGTAACTGTGCATCTTATTCCTGGAAAAACTCTCTTGCAATTCAACAGTGCTTAAAGCCCAGTCACTAGAGTAATGGCAAGATTGTATTTTATAATGACAAGTCACAATGCAATGACTTGCAGGGTAAAAATGTTCTTTGAGTATTATATTCCAGAAATAGTTTTTTATTTTGTTTAAAACTCACCCTATTTCCTACTTATTGAAATATGTTAACACAGGCATTCCTGTATCCAGGAAAGACTTCTGATTGAAATTCACCTTCTTCAAAGACAGCATATAATAAATAGTTATTTGTTAATGGACACTTACTTTTGGTCGTAGGTTGAACAACCTTGGCTGTTTTTACAAAGGAATCAGAGTCTATCAAAGTAAGAACTAATCTGAGAGGGAAAATTTTAGAAAGCTCATCTATATTTTCTCTGTGCTGCAAACTAAAAACAAAGAAGAAGAATTAAAGGCAATAGTAGTTTTGTAAAAACTTTGTTTCTTTCCAACTAGACTTGAGTCAACTAGTAGAGGCTCTAGACTCAGGACTTGGTTTTCTTCTTCCTTTTTTAAACCACAACTCACATTCTAATTTGTGTTTTAATTCATTTAGTTAAAGAATGACTTGCAGTGAATTTGATGTTTTAGGGCTTTCAAATACAAAGAATATTCACCTGCCATATAAAATTCTAAATACTGTGGATCAAGGTCAGAAAATGCCTTGGCAAGAATCTGAAATGTCCTTTATATCATATGTCATTAATGAGGCCTTCTCAATATTTAAATATGTTACTCATTAGAAGAGGGCTTTATCTTAATGCTTTTTTGCATTACTTCAAAGAACAGTTACAAAATTCATTGGAAAGTTCCTAATGATTTCACAAAAAGGAGCCTTACTCAGAGTACACATCATGGAAGGGAGATAAATACCATCACAGAACTGCAGAATCTTGAAGTCTTAGAGCAAAATGTTACATGTGGGCTGGCAATACTAAGCACCATCTCAGTTTTTTGGGATAACTGTATATGAAATCCATTTTCTCTCTTCAGAATGGTATGGAGTTACATGATGTTCATAATTTATACCAGGCTCTTGAGGAATCAAGTATACAATTAGGAGGAGCATTAAACACTTAAGATTAAGACATGCAATGTGGCTCACTCGAAGAATGAGTATAGGTAGCATCTGGACCAAATTTTAAACAGAGGTTTCTCTGTGGGTGATTCTTCATTACTGTTGTCACTTGGGTCAGATGTGACCCTGTGCAGTGACCCCCTCCCCTTACCGTGCTTTGGTTCATCGATTTTGTGATCTGCACTTCAGCCTCAAATGAACATTCAGTCTGTGAAATTAGACTAGTGCTAAGTCAAAGTAAAAGCTAAACAACCTTGTAATGTGTCTTCTGATGTGGACCTGAATCACACTGGACCTCTGTTGTCTGAGTTTCACTCTAGTTACATATTGGAGTTCAGTGAGACTTCATAAGATCAATAGTGTTTGGCCCCACTACTAGCTAGCATGGTTGCTGCCTGCAAGAGAGACTGCTTAACCCTCTCCAAGTATATGAGGTCATCCCTATGGTTTTGGTAAACAGCTTGAAAAAAACAGCAGAACCACTGCAGCTGGGAGATGACTGGAGGTGATCTGGTCCAAATCCCTGTTCAAGAAGAGGCACCTGCAGACAGTCGCCCAGGACCATGGCCATGCAGCTTCTGAGTGTCTCCAAAAGTGGAGATCCAGCACCACTCTGGACAGCCTGTGTCTGGGCTTGAGAAAATATTCCTTATGTTCTAGTCCTATCACTGGGCAACACAGAAAAGAGATTGGCTTTGTCTTCCTTATGCCATCCCCTCTAGGATTTAGAAACATCTTGAGAAAATATCAAGGAAGTACACTCCATTGTCTAGGGAAAGCAAAAAAGTTGTTATTTCCTAAATTTATTCTTAAAAATTTAATTCATGTTAAGGCAGTGTGATATTTCTACACAGTATAGAGTAAAATGAAACAAAATGCCATATTAAAAAAAATGTGCAGCTCAGGGAGAAAATTCTCTTTTGAAAGCATATTATATTTTTAAAATAAAATATTTATTAGAAATAACACGTTCAAACAAGTAAAATGACAAAGCTAAGAGGAACCCACTCTGAAAGTGGTACTTTTTTTCCCTGCACACATTGAATTTGAGACAGGGTAAATTCTCTGAATTATTAATTCAGAGAACTTTTTATATTAAAAAAAGAGTTCATAACAATTTCCAATGTTCCTTTGAATCACGTAAGTCTAATGTAAATGTCTTGTGAAATATATCACTTTAAGTACACTTTTTTTCCCCATAAAGAGCTCCAGAGATTATAAATGATAAGAAATAATAATCCAAATGGAAATACAAACACGCTTGCAGTTGTTGTTTAGGGAAAAAGCACTTACAAAGGACTGGGCCTCCAAGTTCAAGACCTTCAGGCAAAACAGCCAAAGGGTCAACAACAAGAAAAGAAAAGCAGTGTTCTTCTTTTGATTTGAATTCTCAGTAGGTTTGTCTGAGAGAACAACTGGGGGAAAAATTCCACCTTTTTTACAAATCATCCACCCCACTTAGCGTTTTAATGGTTTCTTACACAAGAACTATCATTTTATTGGCAGGTTATTAGATTTTGGACCAGTGTCATTTGACTAGGCCAGTATTAATAATAATAATGTGGTTTATGCAGTGCAGGGTCAGATCAGTGAAGTGCTGTTAGCAGATGACAGGTTTGATTACCGTTGGCTTTAGGCAAGACATATGGATCCCTTAGGAACAGCAGCACAGGCTGGTGGGACAGTTTGCTGGAAAGGTCAAGAACAGGGATGTCAGTATCAAGGGACAGCAAACAGACTGTTCTACAAACTAGCTTTGATAAAGTGAGGTGGTTGAGCTGCCGGGAGCCATGCAGTGCGGTTCCACACACCAGCACTGCCAGAAGGGCAGGCTCCATCTCCGGGAAGCAAAGCTCACTGCTCCTCAGCCAACACTGATACCCTCAGTGTCAAGCTGGAGTAAAGGGACTGCATCCAGGAGGACTGGCTTGCAGCTCTGAGACTTCCTGATGCTGCTCTGCTCCCTGGCGCGTGGTGTCATGCAGGCTACAATACCACCTACAGCCCAGCTCCATAGGCTCTCCAGGCCACCAAGCTGACTCAAAATGCCACCGTGTTCTTACAGCCCCCAAAGCAGTTGCTGTATCCATCACTTGTAAAGAGAAGCCCTTGGAAGCCCCCCAGGCCTGACTCTCACCCTTAGCCATAGCACAGACAGCCTCCCCCAGCCCTCTCCACTCTGCTCTGTGCATATACATTCCAAGTAGTGCCACCAGATGCAGATGAAGCTCTATCAAATGCATGGGGAAGAACCCAGATCTCTAATTCCTTCTGCTAAATCTTGCTACAAAAAATACATTCCCAGATATATTTCAGAACTGGCACTGTTCTGTCAGTTTTGTAAAGAATTTCTCAACACTAGCATAAGGATGTTCAAGCCACACTAAAAATGGATAGATATAGCACAGCTGATGGTTATATTTAACAAATACAATTTTAATGATAAACTACTTCTAATTTGTTAACTGCAAGGAACAAATAAAGTAAATGGCAGTAATTAAAGTAGTTTATTAATCAGGTGCCCTATAAAGAGTAGAAATCAAGCTCACCTTGATTCTTCAGATTCTGTTTCATCAAAAGAGCTGCAAGTAAAGTGACAGGAAGCTTTGGTTACAACAAAATTAATTTTACAATTAAAACCCCCAAATCCTTTAAGAATCACCAAAGGGAGCAATTTGCTGGTCAGTGGCCACATAATGCCACATAAGAAAATATACATGGGAGATTGTATCATTTTATAACCACCACTATTTGAAAATGACAGCATCCATTTTACTGTAAGAGATGAATTTCCATCAATCTATCTGTGAAGTGCTGAGGTGTAGTTCCACTGAGGATACTGGCTGATGTCATTAACTGCAAGTGAAAACTACAAGCCTGATAGCTTCTGAGTCACTCTGGACACTGCCCTGTGCCATAGAGACCTCCAAGGATAAAAGGGCCTCAAAATTATCTTCAGGTAAATTTGCCTTTTCACTACTATGGATCCAAACAGCCTGCCCCAAAGTGGAAAAGGGCCGTGTGGCTTTCTGGGGAGCAGAATGGTAACGCTTCTGAACTATCAACCACATCATCTTACATAGCAAAAGAAATTCTGCCTACATCTGCAGATGGTAACAGAGCTTATAGTTATACTGGTTTGGGTATAAACTCATAAACTCATCATCCCAAGATTCCCTTCTGCCACTGGCTAGGAACACCTCCCAGGGATGGGCAATCGGGTCACTGGGGTAATGTCATCAGAACGGTGGAAGAACCTCATTTTTGAACACACCGAGTGAGATCATAAAATTATCATGGAATGATGCACTATTTTGTGCAGATACTATGATCATAAAACACATGCAAAGGCTTTCTATGCAATTTTACTAAGTGCTTATGAATATCTTACATGATCTACAAGAAAGTCATATTTTTCCCATCTAAGCTCTCCTTTGCTTTCCAAGAATATTACATTAAACTTCCCTTCTATCGTGAACATGCTGGATTTATTTTACGACCTTTTGGGGATATATAAACATACTTAACATGAACCTAATGCCCATTTATTTTACAGTGTTGGAGTTGGCAGCAAGACCATTTTAAGTCAATGGAATTGCATCAGCACTGAGTGGATATGGGCCTTTTGGCCTCCATATATTTTTCAGTAAAGGAGAGCTTACCCACAGCTTTCTGCTTTTGGCAAGGTAGGTACATGACGAACATTCAGAAAATCGAGAAATATCTTAGGGAGCTCTTCATTTTCTAAAATGACTGTCTGTAAAAAAAAAGGCACAGCAGAAACTGAAGTTTAAAAAAATATTTTAGATATTGTACAGTTCCATTCAAGCTACTAAAATAAAATTTCTCTCTTGCAATACTTTTCAGTTCTCCATTTTTACACCTATTTTGGAATGCCTAATTTTGATAGGAAAACCACAGTTCTCAATTAATCAGTTTATGCTACTACATTCTTTTTCACCTGCCATCACTGGTGCCAACCTATATTCCTCTCAAGCAGAGATGTCTGATTCTGGAACTAAGTTACTGGCATGCTCATTTGTGAATAAAGTTCTGTTTATTTAAAATATAAAACATCCTCAGCTTAGCGCTTTCATGTTCACCTCACAGAAGACTACCATCTGGCTTGTGAGCAGAAGAAGTCTTCACTTTGTGCAGTTTTATTAATGCACGTCTTGGTAAATGACAACAAGGGAAACTCCCTGCTTGGCCTGACAGGTCAGCTTACAATACACTCCATGTATCTGCCCTATGGCTCTGAATGACAAAGCTCTGACCACGCAGCTGCTGGCCAGACTTGCCACATTCTTCCACAACCATGATACAACAGCCACATAATGCCCAGAATACATCCTCTGTTTTTTCCCTAGATGAGATGATCTATAGTTTTCACAAGGCAAAGAAAAACAGTTCATAAATTCAACCGTCTCACCTGAAAGATAAAGCCCCTATTTCTTTACTGTTCATACTGACATGCATTCTGAAAACGTGTACTTCACAAGAAAAATTAAGCCATAAGCTTTCTTAAAGAGATTCCCTTCACAAAGGCCTGACCTGAAGTGAATGTATGTATGCAAGAAACTTTACTGGATTTAAAATTAAATTGACTCCTAGAAGCAAAGCTTTCCGTGTTCATCCTGCTCACTTTCCCACCCCATGATAGAAGAAATAAATATAGAGTAGAAACAAGTCTGGAAAGACACATTACTCTTACATTCAGAAGGTAACTTACTCCTGCATGTGTATTGTTTTACATTACAATATCACAAGGGAGACACTGGTATATAGAGGATAGCAGGATTATAAAAAAAAAGAAGGGTTGGAAGAGACATCTAGAAGTCATCTAGATTTTATAGCAGGTTTTATAGCAAATGGTTTGGTTATTTGTGTAAGGAAAACCTGCTCAATATTAAAACTACATAAGACGTAATGGACTTAAAAGCATTTAAAACCAGAACTATTTCAGAACTGGATATTTTTTTATTTTACATTTACAAGTCTGAATTCAGAGGCTATACTTTCTTAACAGCTGAGGCCATCACTAAAATGTTTGAATAAAAGTTCAGCAAAAAATGCAGTTTTTGAATTTTTCTGTGCAAGATTTTAAGGGATATAACAAACAAGGAGGTCTAAGATGTTGGTAAGTGTTAAGCCATTCAGTTCACTTTTATATGAAGATGCTGCATTAAAAATGCCACTCTGTTTGCATTCTGCAAAATCAGCACTCTGATGCTGAAAAATTTATCCAGTTCTGCATTCACGTTATGCACAAAAGAAGGTGTGGAGGTAGATGCATATTCAGAGAGTGTGTGAATCGCATAGAAATGTGTATGGCTGGCTCAAATAAAACCATCTTGCTAATTATATGCGATGAGGAACTGCAAAAAGTTGTAGAAAGATGTTTAAGGGCATCCAGTGCTTATGTGCAACTTCATACCTAAACTCTTGACAGCTTTTTCTAAAAGCTGAGCTGCCTGCTGAAGCTGCTGAATGGAGCAGGGAAGAACAGAAGGATACACCATTTTATGAAAGGAAAACTACTGACAGGTCTTACAAGCTTATTTGCTTCTACTTCCACTCACTTGAGAATATCTCATTCTAGTTTGGTTTGGGTTTTTTTTTTTTCCCCCACAACATGTATCAAGTCAACCCAAGCTCTGCTAATCTTGGCCTGACCACGTACCTTTCACAAAAAAACGTAAGCAAATAGTATCCATTTTAGTCTGTTAAGCCATACAGTTTGTTAGTGGTCAATAATTCTGCTTGAGTGTTCACTAAACTTGAAAATGTAGAATTTGAAGAGAAGCAAAGGCAATTTTGCACTGCATTGTATTTGTACACCACCTCTGCTGACTGGGCATATTGTCATTTCCAGAATTTTATAAAGAAAGGAATGACTGCACTGACCAAAGGAGGATTTTGCAAGTGATGTAATATAATGTGGCATGGACTTTTAAGCACTAAAAATAAAAATATGAAGTTTACAAGTTAATTGTACTAATAGGTGGCAAATTATCTTCTGGCTTGACTTCATTGGCTTTGATTCAATAAGAGGCAAAGACATAATCTTGCCATTTAAAATACACAGTAGAAACCAAAGGAAAGGAGAAAAAAAAAAGCCTGATAACAACAACAATAAAACTAAACTAAACCAAAGAAAAGCCAACAAAAAATCACACAAACCCCAAATCGACCGAACCAACCAATACCAAAATAAAACCTCTAGAAGCACAAACCAGCCACAATGGATTAGGCGAGTGCATATAGGAAAAAAAACCTGAAGCATTCTCAGCTTCCTATTTAAGTTAAAACAAATAACTCTTAAATCAGAAATGTTATTATAATTGGCTTAAGTTACCTGGAACAACCCATAACAAAAGAGGGTTTTTACTTCTGTCTGAAAACCTGAAAGAAATCCATATTTTTGCAAACCTGACCATCTTTACATGATAGGTGTGCAGAAAAGGAACCAGCAGGTAAAGTTTCTCAACCATTACCTATAATTTTTGATGTAATATGCTCAACTGCAGCATTTGTTCAAGTGAATATATGATACTGGCTTGTAGGCATGACTAGCTATCTTGTTTGCTCTGCTGTCAGAAACTGAAAGATAAATATTTTCAAGAAATAAAAACTCACACTTAGTTCTTTGTAATGTGAATTTTTGTTGCATCCAAATTCTATCAAGATCATAGCAATGAATTTCAAATATGGGCCCCAGAGTGCTAAGTAAGCTAATTTAAGAAAAAATCCCCACGATGTGTATTTCCTTCCTAAACGAAATAAAACTCCCTCTTCCCCCAAAACTAAACATAATACAACCTCTAGCAAGTGATTTGGGAAGTGACCCCAGAAATACATTTTTCAAGTCATTGATTTCAGCTGAACTAAAAGTGCCATATTTTCTTAGAAAATTGTAAAGGGTATTTATCTCTTACTGTCACACTTTAATGAACTACTCTGTGCTTCAGGAGAAAAACCCACAACACAACACAACACAAGGGAAAGTCTGATGTTTACATCAGTAGAAATGTCTTTTTCATTGGAAGGGTGCAATTATTATTATGTAAGACAAATGATAAAATCCCAGATTTTTCTACCTTATCAGTTTCATAAAATCATGTTCCCTAAGGATGTCATTGATTAGTCGCACATGTTCTTTCAGTGACATCTCAAATACTTAATTGTCGGTTATCTTTTCTCCTTCAGTAAGTAAAATACAGTCACAAAATTGCAAAGGGACTTGTTCTGCCTTAACCTTAGCTAGATGCCATCATGCAGTGGAAAACAGTGCTAAAATATCACAGGATAATGCTCTCCAACAAGGAAGACATATAAACAGCATAATGATTTCCCATGAGTTTCTTTTTTAGAAAATTGTCACTAAAGCCAGGGTAAATGGTGACATATCTTCACAGAGGACACTGTGAAATCGAACACTGGCATTCTAGTTAGGCCCAAACCTACTCATCAGCCAATTATAACAGTAACTGAACATCTCGCTGAAAACCTGAACAAGACCACTTTGCTAACCTTCAGAGATCATGCCACAGATATGCAGAATTTTCTACTATTATTATTATTATTATTATTATTATTATTATTATTATTATTATTGCTGGTTTTAATAAAGAAATATTTAAAAATCAATTTCTTACAGTCATCTATCACAATTTCTTGAGGTTGCTGGAAGAACTGTGGGAAAGGGAGAAAAGAGAGTGGGAGCTGAGTTACAGGGTTTTTACAGACTTTTCAGTCGGGTTTAGTTTGAAAGGCTGTACTGTTAGGGTGAAAAAGTTCATGACAGTTTTTCCTCTCTTCGCAGGGAAAGATGCTTCACAATACCTAATTCAGTGGTGCAGCTAAAACGGGGGAAAAGAAAATCAATACATTCCAGCTACAGTAAGTAGGCTGGAGTGTCAGTCTCCACTGGGACCAAAATCCACATCTTTTAGAACATTTTAGAGTCTATATTCTTCTATTAACCTGCTTTTCCTGAACTGCTTTACACAGTCCCATGAAATGGTAAAAAGGTTATCAAAAGAACACATTAGCTAAAAACCAGGTAGACAAAGGAACCAGACTTGAATGATTAAGCTTTTCTTTTTTAAAGTAATAGCAGATACAATAATGTTTATAATATCCATTGTGAAGAACTATGAAGAAACTCACTCCCTTGTTCAGTGAGGCTTGTTAGATGTTATTAATTGGGATTAATTCTAAAAAGAATTTCCACTTTTCATTACTAGCACAAGTATTCACATATGTAAGAACAGAACAAGGTTATCAAACGTGCTTTAAAATCTGTATAAAGTTTCAAGAAGTATGCAAATACATGTACAACAACACAGAGGTGAGGCTCCATACTAGCCATGAGCTAATTAACACTCCCACACTGTGTATCAAAGGGAAGTCAACAGTAAGAGTGACATCCATGCAGTGGAGCTTTGAAAGGGAAAAAATACTGACTATAGGGATTATAAGACAAAATACATCCAATGAAGATTCAGAAGTTCCAACTGAACTATCTGAAATATAATGTAAAGTCACAAGAGTTTAAAAAAAGAAGGACAGAGGGGAACTGCACCTCTGAACCTCAAGACTGGAGGATACTTCCTGTGAGCTTAAAACTCCCCTCGTATCTCATGAGTGACAAATCCATCTACCACAGTAATCTCAAGCTATGCAAAGGATAAATTAGATGAAAAGGAAGCCCAATAGTTTAAAAGACTACTAGATCGTCAGTGGAAATATGTA